TTCACTACGTATGTCATTAAAGTGCAGATTTTAACACAATCTAAAATATTTACCAGTTTAAAACATGCATTTGAAATAACAGTTTCTTTCGTCATTTAAGTATTGCAATATGCACTCTGCTTTTGACACTTCCTGTATTTTTATACATTACATGCACTGTTTATATTTTTTGCACATTCAGTTTTTTTTTTTATAAATGCATAAAATTCGCAGCTTATGCTATATCACGCTGCTTGGATTGACCTGTCCGGATAATCATTGGCAGATTATTAATGCTAGTTTCAATTTTACTACTTTAATAACAAATACTGTGTGACGAGATTGATTCAGTATATTATCTAAAATTGTCGATTAATAAAGTTGGTTATAAGCTAATATAAATTTATAGTTCAAACATAATATTATTGTAAGAGCAATTACTTAATATTGAAACTTGAACAATCGATATCGTGACAGTTCAGTAAGCAGGGTGCTATTGAGTAATCTCGTGTAGGAGCTCAGGGCATTAGATTTAATAGTAAAACTTTGTACATTCGGATTAGGATGCGTGGAACATGATAGATATGACGTTAAAGTTGTATGACTAACATCCACGCAGATGAGTAAAACAGTATTTAACTTTACTCGAAATTTATGCGTTCTGATATTGGAGCCGTATTTGTGTTCAAAGTTAACTGTAGGACGCATGGAATTTATATTTAATACATGTACACTTCTAAACAAGAAATTTGAATAAAACTGTCAATGTAATAATAAGACAACTGTGCACAAAAGCTAATAAAAATGAAAAGATTTCTCAGAATAGAACGGTTTAAACACCTGCATTTTAGAAAACTCAAAGTCCACAAATTAATTACTCTAAGAGGTGGAAGAATTTCAAGAATCCAAGGACTTCGAACCGTTCAAAGTATCCAGTCCGCGCAAAGTACTTAGATCTCGAGCGATCTTGGAATTCTGGGGATTCTGGATTCGGCGTAGATTGGCTGATCTCTAAAGTGGTTTCAGTAATTTCATTACCCTCATCGTGCCTTGGTCAAAGTTCTTTGTTGTCTCTTATACATACAATGATCTTCATAACATTCCATGAGTTTAACGATATTTGTCTAGAGTCTAGTCACAGAGTGCAATCTACTATCATCTACTAATTGTACTGGTAACCTTCATTACAGTAACCTTCATTAATATTCGGACACATTTCAAACAGAATAACTGTTTTAATATTAGACAAATCAATTTAATTTTTTTAGATACCAGAAGACTTAGTTTTGTAGATAATCTATAAAAAAGAATTGAATTGATTAGTCTAATATTAAAACTGTTATTCCGTTCCGAATATTAATGAGGGTCACTATACATATGACGAACGTGTTGAAGCAGCAATTGAATGACACAGAATTCCACAGTCAATAAAATTATGTCGTTACCTAAAACAGTTACGTTAGTGACGAGCATTCTGGGTGGATGCGTATTCACTTGACAGACATAGAGTCCACGATCTTCCCTTCGTACCCCGGTGATCGCTAGCCTCCAGTTGTTCGGATATTGGAAGCTAACGCTGTACCTGGGATCGGAAATGTGAGTGGTATTACCCAGGGTTAATAGGGATGCCCAGTCGGCGTTGCGACGTAACCACATGACCTATAATGGTGACACAGGATTCTAGAGTCGTACGTGTGATTCTGTGTGAAGACATTTGTGTGAGGTTTGAGTAACAAATGAGGTAAAAACGTTTTAATGCTATTTTATTAAAAAGGTAATTGCGTAATACTTTTGTGCATAGTAATTTACTGTCTTCTTTAACTAACGTTATACTTCTAATTTAGCATTATCCAGATAATAGCTGGATAGTAAAGTCGTGTTAAATGCAAATGAGCTTTTGTTCTTATCGTAGAAGAGACACGATTCTTATCTATTTTTTGTACTGAACGTATAACAGGTCAGTAAGTGAAAAAAGAGAGAATGAACGATCGATCGAGGTAACCGGCAAAGATTAAAGATATCGATGAGACTAATGCTAATTCAACACCAAAATTCTTTTAATGTTAATTATTTTTTAAGAAAAAAATTTCACCATCTGATTAAAATGAGGCCAAACTTTTTTATTTGAAAGACACCATTTATTATTACATATTTTATTACATGTATTATTAAAAAATAAAATCGATTGTTTGGTCTCATTTTAATCAGGAAAATCTGAGAAAGAACAAAACCGGAAATAAAAAAATTTCGTCGTTTGAAGTAGTATTAATTCACATGGATATTCGCTGCGGATCGGAGGATTACGTTTCGCGACGATCCAATTACACTAGCTCGAGCTCGAGCGAGATCAGACGTAGTGAAGATAAAAATTTTTTGCAATTAACGCGACTTTACTGTAAGCGTAAAGTTGTTAAGGATTAAATGTCAGTGTTTCTAAAAACAGTAGCATCGATGTGCGGGTAGAATACTTACCTTCTTTCCAGAGAGCATAGCAACGCGACAATCGAGGAGAGCCGTTGCACCAAGGTGCAGTGCCACATTTTGCGATCCGTTGATACCCTGACCCTCAGCATTCTCGAAGTAAGGATCCCAGTCTGTCACTCGATGATGCCTCAGCCGAGGGATTCGAAGAGGTGGCAGGTTAGCAATAATTTCTTCTGAAATTTCAGTATATTAATTAGTCCAGCATTTTAATATTTACGTAAAAAACGATCCGGTTAAGGAGTATGTAAACTTAACAGCTCAGACTCTTATAGAAAGTATGTCTCTTTTTTACAAAGTAATCCCCTTTTGTCTCATTGTTCTTAAAGAGGATCGCTACAAAACGCGATGGTAAAAAAAAGGATGTTGATCGTAATTCCCTAAAGGTACAATTTTCGCCGATACTTTCTGGTAAGCTGTAGACATCCGTCTTGCACGGCGGCTGTTGTAATAGGATTTTCACGCGCGCGTGTATAGAGGATAGCGCGGAAAAATGCGAGCAACGGAGGGCGGCGGCGGCGGCGCGACGCTCAAAGTAAATTGCACTCTCATTCCATGAATCATTCCGCGATCGTTGATTCATCAACCGGCGGCACCGTTGTTTGCTAACAACATTATTTGCTACGGCGTAAATCACGCGAGAACGCTTTATTAAAGCCTTTATTAAAATACACTGTGTCCCTGATTTATGATACATACTTTTTCATAAAATGGAACGAGTTATCTGAACAAATTAATTTCTATGTTTTCGACACTTCCCTGCTCTATCAAAATATGCAGCTTAGAGATTTATTCTGTCATTAATATAAAAATATTGTTTACGTACTTTTTCCCTAGTTATATAAATTTCTCTTCCTCATGTAAAGTTCATTTGGATAAAAAAAGAATATGCATTATTAAAAATGCTCCATTATGTTAAGTTAAACAAAAACTTCTAATTTCAGTGTTTTTTGTAGTATCGTAGGTTACTAGGTTCAGTAAAAGGATAGTAGGTTTAAAAATTGATCTCCTTCATAAAAGCTCTTAAATACTTATCGAATTAATATCTCCTCTTAACTGAAAGTTCTACTTAGTTTAATTAGATTATTCCACGCGCACATCTCCTGTATTATTAAAAAATATTCGACATTATTTTAAGTTAATTAGATTCCACGCAGACATAAAATGAAATTGTCGTTCCTTTCCTTTATGATTTTTTTCGAGTTCAACGGACGCGTTTTCTCGATTGGTGAGAAACTTTTGTGGCGAAGATCGAATCAGCGTCCATCAAACAATCGATTCGAGTTCTTGCTACGGTGTAGGATTTGCTTCTTCGAGCATTCAGATACGATCGGTTTCTAGTCGATGCAACACGCTCGTTTCGAAAGCAGACAAAGCATCGAAACATCATGATCCCAAAACAATCGACAGTCTTTGAGAGAGCCAGGGAATAGATAGAGAAGTACGGAGATTTATGAAAGCAACAAAATTATTCTAGATACGAGGGAAAATGGGTAGACACAAAGAAGATAGCGCGAGAGAAACGGCGAAACTGGGAATGGAAGAAATGAACCGTGGAAAGGGGAATAAAAGAAGCGGAAATTGTTCCTCGTGTATACTAGTCAACCATACTTCTACATCTTCCTTTTTTATTAACTATCCAACATTGCCGTAATATTCTGGAAAGAAATGAATGCTCGCAAATGCGACTCAAAAAAGGTCGCGTAAGAAGACATGGGACTGGACCTAATCAGAAAAGAGGTCGAAGAAATAGCCGGAATCGTGGAAACAGAGTTTCGCCAGCTGACCATTCGAGTTTTCGCAAGAGGAACTTTCGCAAGGATTTAGCTGCGAACTATGTTTCGTGACTCGTATTCGAAAGAAACAGGAAACATGATTGCGCTGTGAATAGATAGGAAATAGATGCGAAGTCAGTACAGTAGCACTGAAATTCATTATAATTCCTTGACGTTAATGCATCTTCGAATATAACGTACATATATGATTAGGGTACTTGGGGAAAAGTAATACAGTTGTAAAGAAATACTTTACGTACGCAAAAAACAATATTTATTTGTCTATTTTATTTATGTAAACTATGTATTAATTCGAAACATGTAATTATTTCCTTTTGTCTTTTTCATTTTTCTACGAATTCGAGAGAAGCAGAACTATTCCAGTCGTTTCGTTCCTGTAGAAAAAAAATTAATTTATGAACTTTGAAAGGCAGCGGTTGTTTACGTCAGTGAAGCATTAGAATGAACGACCGCTGTGAAAGTTTCGTCTCGTTAACTAGTATTCATGGCACACGCATAAGTACATATCGCACCTTTAACACGTTGCACATGCAGCTTTCGTCAAACAACTCCCTCCGTAAATTCCCTGATAAAATACGACTTTGACCGGGTCGTAAAATGTCAAAGTGTTGGCGTTTATGTAAATTGGTATCGTCGCGGCGTACGTGATTTCACTTATAATTTTAGAACCCCGCTGCATCGATCAAGAAGCACTTGTACACGAAAATACAACAATGTAAAATATTTTGTTTGCCAAATGAACGTATTGCTTTCCTCTTGTAACTTAAGTAGCGCCGTTTCATCGAGGTTAAACTATTAAGCATAAAGAATACGTCAATCAAGTGACTTTACCTACACCGAATATACATATATGAATATTTATGTGACCTAAAAGCGATCAGTCATTTAATTAATGTCAGCTGAGCTAATTTCTGTCAGCATTATAGATTGCTAATAACTGCTTCATAAAAATAGACACGAATTTAATTGACTGAAGTATTGAAAGATTAATGATCCTACTCGTTTACATTTCACCTTTTAGAATTTAATTTTAGAAAAAGTAGATGTGAAGTAGTATTTTTATTCAATAATGTTTAGCCAATCTTCATTTATAATGTAATTTCATTTCCTAAGTGACGATGTCTATGTTTAGAGATTCTGAGACTCATCGTTTCTTTGATAATGCTCAACCAACTGGTAGGAAAGTATAATATTATTGGGGAACCGCATTCGGCTAGTCAACATGTTACTTTTCGGAGCTCGTAACTAGCTCTGTGTGTGGAGACTGTTGAGAGTCTGCCGGGGTCAATCCCTGATCTCCTTTCGGACTTCTAGCTCGAGATATCCAATAGCCACCCTCTCGAGTCTATCTGTATAGATCGGGCAAAGGAAGTCCATTTTCGGTCAAAAGAAAATCATTCAGAATAATTTTGTACGGTAGGCTGACAAAATGAAGTATTCTATTGAAGAAAATTACTTAACATTATGTATATATGAGCTCTTATTAGAATCGGGAATTCTATTATTATTTGAATTGACTTGTGGATCACTGTTTTCATTTTTAAGAAAAATTGGGCTTAGAGGTATTCGAGTGATGGTTATCACGTTCTACAGTAAATTTTGAAACATCTGTGAAGAATGTTCGTTTTCCAGCTTGATAGATCCAGATACTTTTACTTGCAAATCATGTTTTGTATCGAGCCATACTTCACCACCGAGATTTATGAACAGCGATTTTTCAAGAATTCTGGCATGCTTTTTACAATCCTGCCTCTTTTCCTATAAAAATTGTGACATATAAAAAATATTTTAGAAGATAACAAAAAAAAACGTAGTAGAACTTCAATTTCCCTTTTCGTTCTACTCCAATTATTCCAGTTAACTCGTTTACCCAAAACCAGAAACGTAGATCAGCAAATCTCCAACGTGAAGCTATTAAAAGTTGAACCAACGAATCTGTGTATCATTCGTCGAGAGGGAAACTGAAGTGTAATAGACCGTGACGAGTTCCTCGGGACGTGCGCGGCGACTCACGCCAGAATATAAATCGTTCCCCCCCCGGCGACTAGCAGATCGCGATTGCAATTATCGGCTCTTTGTCCGCGTACATTTTTCCGTCGATATCTCGCGGGCGGCCCGCTTTGTTCCGTCCTTCGGAGGAAATTACCCATCCGTTGTTGATTCGATTGTGCCGGGGTACCCGGGGTTAACGGAGTAGAGAACTAAATGTCTTCGGCAATGGGTGCACCCTTCACCCTCGCGGACCTTTCAGATTCTCTACCGTACAGCAACTCGGTCACTCGACCTAAGGGAGGTTCCTTTTTCTCTTTCTCATGCACTCGTTGACGCTATCTCGAGTATCCGAGTGTTTACGTTTAATGATCTTGCGATGACAATCCCTCTCGTTTAGTGGATTGAAATTGGTTCTAACCTTATAATACGTCGTTCTAGATCGGCTACTTTAATCGAGGAGGGGTGAAAATTCTCGTTCGCCTTTAAGCTTTAAATGAAATTGCGAAATAAAATAAGGCGAACGGGACGATGAGAATGATAATGCAATCGGGAAGAAGTGGTTTGTCGTGTTGAAAGACGAATCGATAGAGCTTGATACTTTTTTTTTTCTAACTAGAAGACTATTACCGGAAAAAAGTCTGTTCTATTATTTTAATGATATCCTCGAAGTTTTTTTTACTTGGTATATTCATATTCGTGTTTGTCCAATGATAAAGCTGAGACTAATTGTTTCCCTGGAAATCGTTTCTAATAACATCAAACCACTGTTCTAAAGTCCTTTGAACGAACTCATTAGAAACGATTCAACCGAATGAAGCGTTAATTCATCACGCGGTTGAAAGAATATTTCACGAGCGAAGTACAGAGACATAATAATTATACATTGTCGCAGCGAAAGCATTTATCTTATTTTCACAGCGAACAGTAGTATTTCCTCTTTTTTTAAATACATGCCAGCAACCGTGCGATTAAATGGGCTATAGGTACAATACGTGGAAATGAATGCACGCGAGTTTAATTCACGGTCGAACAAAACATTTAGGAGTCCTAATTTTTTAAATAAGCTTAATGAAGAGAGCCAAGAACAATCCTATGCTATTTAAGATTTCTAATAAGGCAAACGTCGTGAAAGAATAGAAGTTCACATTTTTAGTACCAGTAATAACTCTCCATTTAGTATATCTGTCACTGTGATTATATTTTACTAATTTGGCTGTTTTTTGATATTTCAATAGTTTATTAATATCAGAGCGTGAACCGTGTCAATTTATAAGAATCTTAAGCACTGGAGTTCCGGGCCAATTTTTCTGATTAAAACACTGAAAAGTTGAATAGCTGATTTTGAAAATGAATCGACGCGAAACGAATGTTCGGTCCAATTAAAATTA